AACATACTGATTTTAATTCCTTTGACTACATACCCAAAAGTAGGATTCCTGGATCATATAGTCGTTCTGGTTTTAGTTTTTAGATGTTTTAGTTTTCTGAGGAACCTCCATGATGTTTTCTCAAATGGCTGTACTAATTTACATGCCCACCAACGGTTTACCAGGGTTCTCTTTTCTGCAGTCCTCACCAGCACTTCCCTTTTGTCTTTTTGATAATAGCCATTCTAACAGGCATGAGATAATAATAGCTCAGTGTAATGTTGATTTACCTTTCACTAATGATTAGAGAGTTTGAGCTTTTTTTCATGTATCTGTTGGCCATTCATGTCTTCTTTTAAGAAATACTCATTGAGCTCCTTTGCCCATTTTTTTAATCAAGTTACTTGTTTTGTTAGTGTTTAGTTGTTTGAGTTCCTTATGTATTTTGGATGTTATCCCCTTATCAGATATGTGGTTTGCAAATATTTTCTCCCATCCCAGTGAGTTGTATCTTCACTCTGTTAATTGTTTCCTTTGTTATGCAGAAGTTTTTTAATTGGATGCATTTGTCTGGTTTTGCTTTTGTTACCTGTGCTTTTGGGCTTCTGTCCGAGAAATCATGGCTCAGATCAGTGTCGGGGAGCTTTTCTCCTGTTTTTTTCTAGCAGTTTTACAGTTTCAGGTCTTAAATTTTAAGTTGATTTTTGTATGTGGTATGAGATAGGGTACAATTTCATTCTTATGCAAGTCGATACCCAGTTTTCCTAACACAATTGGCAAGGCATTCCCCATCGTTTGTTCTTGGTACCTTTATTGAAAATCGATTGACTGTAAGTTCATGGTTTTATTTCTGGGCTATCTGTCCTGTTCCATTGGTTTAAGGTGTCTGTTTTTATGCCATTATCATGCTGTTGTTTGATTACAGCAGCTTTACCTTATACAGCCATGTTCCATATAACAATATCTCAGTCAACAACAGACTGCATGTAAACAGTGGTCCCATAAGATTATAATGGAGCTGAAAAACTCCTATCATCTACTGATGATATGTTCTAGTGCAGCATACTACTCGTGTTCATGGTTATGCTGGTGTAAACAAACCGACTATTCAGTCATATCAAAACAGCACATACCATTATGTACACTACAGTATATATTTGATAATGGTAATAAACAACTATTACTGGCTTATGTATTTACTATGATTCTGACCCTGTATAGGCCTAGGCTAACGTGTATGTTTGTGTCTTAGTTTTTAACAAAGGTTTAAAAAGTAAAAAATAATTTTAATAATAGAAAAAGCATGTAGAATAAAGATATAAAGAAAGAGGCTGGGGCATGGTGGCTCTCACCTGTAATCCCAGCACTTGGGGAAACCAAGACAGGTGGACCACTTGAGGTCAGGAGTTCGAGAACAGCTGAGGCAACATGGTGAAACTCCATCTTTGCTAAAAATGCAAAAAATTACCCAGGCGTGGTGGCACATGCCTGTAATCCCAGCTAGTCAGGAGGCTGAGGTAGGAAGATTGCTTGAACCCAAGAAGTGGGGGTTGCAGTGAGCCAAGGTTGCGCCCCTGCACTCTAGCCTGGGTGACAGAGCAAGACTTTGTCTCAAAAAAAAAAAGAAAAGGAAAATATTTCTGTATAGTTGTACGATGTGTTTGTTTTAAGAAAAGCATTATTACAAGCGTCAATAAATTAAATAAGTGACCGGGCGTGGTGGCTCATGCCTGTAATCCCAGCACTTTGGGAGGCCGAGGTGGGTGGATCACCTGAGGTCAGGGGTTTGAAACCAGCCTGGCCAACATGGCGAAACCCCATCTCTGCTAAAAATACAAAATTAGCCAGTCGTGGTGGTGCATGCCTGTAATCCCAGCTGTTTGGGAAGCTGAGGCAGGAGAATCGCTTAAACCTGGGAGGCGGAGGTTGCAGTGAGCCAAAATCACACCGTCGCACTCCAGCCTGGGCAACAAGAGCAAAACGCTATCTCAAAAAATTAAATTAAAGAAGTTTAGGCTGGGCGCGGTGGCTCAAGCCTGTAATCCCAGCACTTTGGGAGGCCGAGGCGGGTGGATCACGAGGTCAGGAGATCGAGACCATCCTGGCTAACATGGTGAAACCCCGTCTCTACTAAAAATACAAAAAACTAGCCGGGCGAGGTGGCGGGCGCCTGTAGTCCCAGCTACTCGGAGGCTGAGGCGGGAGAATGGCGTGAACCCGGGAGGCGGAGCTTGCAGTGAGCCGAGATCGCGCCACTGCACTCCAGCCTGGGCGACACAGCGAGACTCCGTCTCAAAAAAAAAAAAAAAAAAAGAAGTTTATACAGTAAAAAAGTTACAGTAAGCTAAAGTTAATGTATTATTGAAGAAAGAAAAATGTTTTTTATACATTTAGTGTAGCGTAAGTGTACAGTGTTTATAAAGTCTACGGTAGTATACAGTAATGTCCCACCCAGGCCCTCACATGCAGTCACCACTCACTGACTCACGCACTCACTCAGTCACCCAGAGCAACTTCTAGTCCTGCAGGCTGCATTCATGGTAGGTGCCCTATACAAGTGTACCATTTTTTATGTTTTATACCATATTTTTGCTGTACCTTTTCTATGTTTAGATGCACTAATGCTTACCATTGTGTTACATTTGCCAGCAGTATTCAGTACGGTAACATGCTGTACAGGTTTGTAGCTGAGGAGCAAAGGTCTGGGTGTGTAGTAGGCAATCCTCCGTAGGTTTGTGTAATATACTGTGTTTGCACAATGACAAAATCGCCTAACCACACATTTCTCAGGACATATCCCCGTCATTAAGCTACATGTGACTGTACTTTGAAATCAGGGAATGTGATGCCTCTGACTTTGTTCTTTTTACTCAAGATTGCTTTGGCTCTTCGGCGTCTTCTGTGGTTCCATGTGAATTTTAGGAATTTTTTTTTTCTATTTCTGTGAAAAATGATGTTGGAATTTTTTTTTTTTTTTCTTTTTGAGATGGAGTTTCACCCTTGTCGCCCAGGCTGCAGTGCAATGGTGCAGTCTCAGCTCACTGCAACCTCCACCTCCCAGGTTCAAGCAATTCTTCTGCCTCAGCCTCCCGAATAGCTGGGATTACAGGTGTACACCACTACGCCTGGCTAATTTTTGTATTTTTAGTAGAGACGGGGTTTCACCATGTTGGCCAGACTGGTCTAGAACTCCTGACCTCGGGTGATCTGCCCACCTTGGCCTCCCAAAGTGCTGGAATTACAGGTGTAAACCACCATGCTTGGCAGAATTTATTTATTTGTTTGTTTATTTTTATTTTATTTTATTTTTTGAGACAGGGTCTGGCTTTGTTACCCAGGCTGTTGTACAGTGGTGCAATCTCGGCTCACTGCAAACTCCACCTCACAGGCTTAGCCTCCTGAGTAGCTAGGACAGCAGGCTCCAGCCACAACACCTGGCTGATTTTTTGGTATTTTTCATAGAGACAGGGTTTCACCATGTTGCCCAGGCTGGTCTCGGGCTCCTGAGCTCAAGCAATCCGCCTGCTTCGGCCGCCCAAAGTATTGGGGATTACAGGTGTGAGCTACCACACCTGGCCTGCCATTGCAGTTTTGATAAAGATTGCATTGAACCTATAGATTGCTTTGGACATTTTAACAATATTAATTCTTCCAGTCCATAAACAAAGGATATCTTACCATTTATTTGTATCATTTTCAGTTTCTTTCATCAATATTTTATAGTTTTCAGAATGCTATTAGGGTGTTTTGTTTTGTTTTTTCATTTATTAAGTTCTACAATTACAGTACATTGCTACAAACAGTGGTCTGTGGCAGAAATATAGCATGGTGGCTCACACCTGTAATCCCAGCAGTTTGGGAGGCCAAGGTGGGTGGATCACTTGAGGTCAGGAGTTGAAACCAGCCCAGACAACATGACGAAACCCCATCTCTACTAAAAATACAAAAATTAGCTGGGCGAGGTGGCACACACATGTAATGCCAGCTACTCAGAAGGCTGAGGCAGAAGAATCGCTTGAACCCAGGAGGCAGAGGTTGCAGTAAGCCGAGATTATGCCACTGCACTCCAGCCTGGGCGACAGAGTGAGACTCCATCTAAAAAAAAAAAAAAAAAGAACCAGGAATGTCAGCCTTCTAGAATTACTGGGGCCCTTTCCTCAATTACATAGATTGTCAAACTTGGCAATATTACAAAACCATTATAAAGACAATAAAATTATCTGTAAGCCTGCACTGTCCAGTAGAGTAGCCACTAACCCTATAGCTATTGAGCATTTGAATGTGGTCAGGCCAAACTAAGGTGTGCTGTGACAATATACAAACTAGATTTCAATGACTTTGTACACAAAAGAATGTAAAATATCCCATTAATCATTTGTTGATTACATGTTGAAATGATATTTTGGATATGTTGGGTAAGTAAAATATTAAAATTTCAGCTGCATTTTTTTTTTTCTTTTCCGACGTGGCTACTAGAAAGTTCAAAATGACACATGACTCACATTTTATTTATTTTAGCCAGTGCTGCTCTAGACTGAGTTTGCATGAGGTGTAACTCTGTCTAGAGCTATAGTGACATGTAAGTAATGTATATGCTTTGTACAAAATCTCCCTATAAACTGCTGATTTTGAAATTGAAGTCATGAAAGACAGATTGAACCGATAGAGTCCTTTGAGAGTCACCAGTTATTGGCAAGTATAAACCCCACCAGGATAGGAGATGGAGGGAGGAATCCACTGGTTATTTGATGCAAAAAAAAAAAAAAGAAAAAGTGGTGGGGTGCGCTTATAGTCCCAGCTACTTTGGGAGGCTGAGGTGGGAGGATCACTTGAGCCCAGGAGTATGAGTCTAGCCTGGGCAACATATGAAACCCCATCTCTTTTTTAAAAAAGGAAAAAAATGGTGAATAGGAGCAGTGGTCATTGGGTGACAACAAACTATACGTAAGAGGAGGGTTAACCTAGTAGAGATTTTCAGTGTGATCTATTACTTACAAAGTCTTCCTGTGGTTTCTCTTTAGGGGCAAGCTGTGTGTGATTGATTGGAAGACATCAGAGAAACCAAAGCCTTTTATTCAAAGTACATTTGACAACCCACTGCAAGTTGTGGCATACATGGGTGCCATGAACCATGACACCAATTACAGCTTTCAGGTCAGGACACCGAGCCTCTACTTAAAGCTTTGCTCAGTGCTTACTTAAAACTGTAACTCCAGGCCGGGCACGGTGGCTCTGTAATCCCAGCAGTTTGGGAGGCCAAGGCAGGTGGATCACTTGAGGTCAGGAGTTCGAGACCAGCCTGGCCAATATGGTGAAACCCCCGTCTCTACCAAAAATACAAAAACTAGCTGGGCATGGTGGCTCATGCCTGTAATCCCAGCTACTCTGGTAGCTGAGGCAGGAGAATTGCTTGAACCCAGGAGGTGAGGTTGCAGTGAGCCAAGATTGTGCCACTGCACTCCAGCCTTAGCAAGAGAATGAGACTCCATCTCAAATCCGTCTCAAAAAAAAAAACTTCTTGGTCAGAGGGGTAGGAGGAGAAAAACTGTAAAAAAAAAAAAAAAAAAAAAAAGTTAAAAAATAGAACTCCTTGAGGTTTTCACTCTTTTTTTTTTGTAATCTCTTTTTATCCCACCACTTAATTTCTTCCTTGTTCCTCTCCCACTTAAAAAAGCACTTTTTGACTGGGCACAGTGGCTCACACACTTTGGGAGGCCGAGGCAGGCAGATTGCTTGAGCTCAGGAGTTCAAGTCCAGCCTGGGCAACATAGTGAAACCCCATATCTACAAAAGAATACAAAAATTAGCTGGACGTGGTGGCGCGCACCTATGGTGCCAGCTACTTGGGAGGCTGAGGTGGGAGGATTGCTTGAGCCCAGGAAGTAGAGGTTCCAGTAAACTGAGATCATACCACTGCACTCCAGCCTGGCCAACAGAGTAAAACCCTGTCTCAAAAATAAATAAATAGGCCGGGTGTGGTGGCTCAAGCCTATAATCCCGGCACTTTGGGAGGCCAAGGTGGGCAGATCACCTGAAGTCAGGAGTTCAACACCAGCCTGGCTGACATGGCGACACCCTATCTCTACTAAAAATACAAAAATTAGCTGGGCGTGATGGTGTGTGTCTCTAGTCCCAGCTACTTGGGAGGCTGAGGCAGGAGAATTGCTTGAACCCAGGAGGCGGAGGTTGCGGTGAGCCAAGGTTGTGCCACTGCACTCTAGCCTGGGCAACAGAGCAAGACTGTCTCTAAATAAATAAACAGCACTTTTTGGCTGGGTGTGGTGACTCATGCCTGTAATCCCAGCACTTTGAAGGAGGCTGAGGTGGGCAGATTGCTTGAGCCCAGGAGTTCAAGACCAGCCTGGGCAACGTGACAAAACCCCATCACTACTAAAAATAAGAAAAATCAGCCTTAAATGATGCCTGCCTCAGCTCCGAGAGTGCGGTGAGCCAAGATTGTGCCACTGCACTCCACCCTGGATGATGGGAGTGGGATCTTGTCTCAAAGAAGGAAAAAAACAGCACTTTTCCACCCTCTTGGGCTTTTTTTTTTTTTTTTAATGGCTCTGTAATGATCACAGTCCAGTCTTTAATGTTTTATCTGTCATCTTTTTGTTCTTGTGTCCTGGTCCAGCCTTTGATCAACCCACTTTAGAAACTGAGTTAGGAGATATCCTGTAGATTGTTTTATACTGAGTTTGCCCTGGAGTAAGAAGGAAATGAACCTAAACTCTGGACTACTGTAGTGAAACCAGAATTGCCCTGTGTTTCTTCCTAGGTTCAGTGTGGCTTAATTGTGGTGGCCTACAAAGACGGATCACCTGCCCACCCACATTTCATGGATGCAGAGCTCTGTTCCCAGTACTGGGCCAAGTGGCTTCTTCGACTAGAAGAATATACGGAAAAGAAAAAGAACCAGAATATTCAGAAACCAGAATAGGGAACAGGACGCTATTTGGGAACATTCAGCACCTTCTCACAGTTTGGGAACATATATTGCTGTTTATTCCAGTGTAAAAATGAGGTGCCACTGGATCTGAGTGCTACATGAACACAAGTAGAAGTATTAATGTGTTGAAATGTGTTGTTACCAGAAAGACTGAAAAGCCCCAAAGTCTAGATGTAGAGAGCTAGGCTTCGGCATGCGAAATCCCAGCTCTGCTACCTCTTATTTACCTGAAAGCAGGACACACAGGATGGGCAGTCACGCTGGTGACTCTTGGACTCCCTTGAGGGACCTTTTTTTGGGGGGGAATCCCAGGCAGGATGCCCAGTCTTTGAGCTGAGATTGGAAGGCAGTGAGGCTGAGGGTGCCAAGATTTCCCCAGGGTTCACCCAGAGGGGAAGGGGCTACACACCCCCAGCTGTGTGCAGGGAGGACACATCAGCCCACTACCGCTGCCAACACCAATGCCTAAAACTTGTTTCATACATTGGGGTTTTCTATATATTTCAGTTCGGAAAAGCTTACATTTAACCTTTTAAAAAAATAAATACGTGATTAGCCTCAACTAAACATTGCCGACTATAAAGACAGAGTATATTCACTATGTCACTGGCAATATGCTGTTGCATAACACCAAATAACCCCCAGAAGTAGCCAGAGGTCAGTTTGAACATCACAATTGTAAGTGTTTTAGTAGCTATTTCTGGCACGAGTCAAGGGATCATGTAGATAGAGTCAATTATTGTTTGTGGAGTTTTTCAGCTATAGGGGAGGGGAACTATTAAAATCCATTTGTTTCTATTCAGTAGGTAATAAAAATTATTAGTTGTCACTGGGTTTGGGAAACTTAAATGCCCATTACAGCCCTGGGGAAGGGTTTTCTGTCTTATGGAGTGAGTCTGTTAGCATTTAAGTTATAGTTGCTGCCTTAAAATAGTAGCCTGCTACAATGACTTCTTTGGGTAGCCATTTTTGTAAGAAATAAAATACAAGATATGAGTAATGAAGCTTTGGTTTTGTTTACTTTGTGTGTTTATAGGATAATTTTATAAACCTGGAAATCGTTTGCACTCTGTTTATAATTCAGAGGTTTACCACCAGCCCAATAGCTTTGGTGAGAGTTCTATGTAAGTGCATAAAAGAAAGCGTCCTCACTAAGCCCTCAGCCATGGTCACCTGGCAAGGAAAGCAAGATTCGGGTAGGAGACAGGAGGATCAAGGGGGACCGGGGACCTTTGTATTATCTCTATACACTTCTGCATTCATGTGGGTTTTTCTCAAGCTGCAGATACATATTTCTGTAGCCTGTAATTTCCAGTCAAAAATGAAGTGAGGTAATTAAAAGTTGTACTAGCAGAGTTTGCCACTCTGCTCTAATAAGCCTCAACCTAGAATTTAGGAGGCTAGACCTAGCAAAATTTCTTTTTCTTTTCGTTTCTTTTCTTTTCATTTCTTTTTTTTTTGAGACAGTCTGGCTCTGTCAGCCAGGCTGGAGTGCAGTGGGCTCACTGCAGCCTCCACCTCCCAGGCTCAATCAATTCTCCTGCCTCAGCTTCCCAAGTAGCTGGGATTACAGGTGTGCACCACCATGCCCTCCTAATTTTTGTATTTTTAGTAAAGACGGTTTTGTCATGTTGACCAGGCTAGTCTCGAACTCCTGACCCAGGTGATCCGCCTGCCTCGGCCTCCCAAAGTGCTGGGATTACAGGCGCGAGTCACTGACCAGCTGCAAAATTTCATTTTAATACAGGTGTTGTGTTGTGTAAATAGAAATTTGCCTCAGACCTGTCACTTTGTACCACGAGTCTCCCAAGATAATGGTGGCCTGAAAAGTTCTATGAGGGAGCCCCTCAGAAGAGTGTGACCAGGAGGATGTGCTTGGTATACGAACAGAGAAGGTAAATCCCTGGGCAGGTTTTCTTGAGCTCAAGGCCTCCCCAGTTTCTCCTGACAATTGTGATACTCCTCGGGGGTCACATCTCCTGAGATGCTAACGTCAATGGAAAAAAATTATTACTACGAAAGCATAGGATGAGAAAGTCAAATTTGAGTTTCTAAATGAGTCGTGGTTTTTCAAGAATTAACATGTATGAGGCCAGGCGCAGTGGCTTATGCCCGTAATCTCAGCACTTTGGGAGGCCAAGGCGGGTGAATCACTTGAGGTCAGGAGTGCAAGACCAGCCTGGCCAACATGGTAAAACCCTGCTTCTCTACTAAAAAAACATTAGCTGGGCCTGGTGGTGCACACCTATAGTCCCGTCTACCTGCGGAACTAAGACGGGAGAATCGTTTGAATCCAAGAGGTAGGGGTTGCAGTGAGCTAAGGCCACACCACTGCACTCCAGCCTGGGCAGCAGAGCGAGACTCCGTCTCAAAAAAAAAAAAAAAATTAACACGTGTGTTAGGAATTGTTGGTTGCGATCTCTTTTGCCTAAGTGATATACTGCATATGAAACTCCAGTGAAATGAAACTGAGCATTCAAAGTAAGGAGAGATAATTTAAATTTTTTTAAAGGAGGTGTGTGTATATTGCTTTTCTGAGGAGGCTTTCTCAGAAGTACAAAACGTTGCCTTCCAGTGTTTCGTTTTGAGAAAAACTATTGGCTTCAAAGCTAACTGCATTTCCTTTTCCTCCAGAGTTCTACCCATTCTTACCAATGCAGTCAGCAACTGACGGAAGTTCCATGCTGACACAAAAGCCAATTTTGTTTTTTCAAAAAAAAAAAAAATATATATATATATATGTATGTATGTGTACATACACACACACACACACACACACATATATGGCCTTTTTCCCCCTTACACCTGGCTTCTTCCTCGGAGCCTGATAATCTGAGAACATTAGCCTCTGTAAACCTATCATAATTCTAGGAAACCTACGGTTTCACATGTGTTGACCTTGGTAAATATAGGAAGGGGGTTAATCGTAAGTCAGTGTGTTTCTAGGTAACCAATTTGCCTACTGGCTTTAAAAGAAATTGGAGAAGGGTAATTTGTTTTAATCACTGAGGCTTTCCACCTCAGCAATTAAATATTTGATTATAACCTGCGCTGTGTTCCTGCCCATCCCTCAACAAAAAAGTGAAGGAAGGGAATCACTGGAGAAAAAAACGTTTGAGAAACAAAATAGAGAATAGTTGAAAGTTCCATGTTTAAAGAAACAATAAGTTGTTTGGAGCTATGTGTTAAATCACTCAATGCTAAGTAAAAGGTAAACTGACTTTTCCTTCCTTCCTGCCTCCCTCCCTTGCAGCAGCAGAGGCCTAAAATTTCAGCAGATATGTGCTTCTGCTGGAAGTCTAACCTACTGATCCACTTCAGTTATTTATACTATTGAAGGGAACTAGAGAGAATCTCTGGGGAGAGACCCCTGAATGAGCAAAAGGCTTGTACGTTGCCTTGACAATAACAATTGTCAGGTTGAGTAATGCATTTGTGAAGATCCAATCATAAAAAGATGGCCAAGCACAGTGGCTCATGACTAATCCCAGCACTTTGGGAGGCTGAGGCAGGTGGATCATTTGAGCTCAGGAGTTTGAGATCAGCCTGGGCAACATGGCAAAACCCCGTCTCTACCAAAAATACAAAAAATTAGCCAGGTTTGGTGGCATGCACCTGTGGTCCCAGCTACTTGGGAGGCTGAGGCAGGATCGCTTGAGCCTGGGAGGCAAAGGTGGTAGTGAGCCACGATTGCACCACTGCACTCCAGCCTCAGCAACAGAATGAGACCCTGTCTCAAATAAATAAATAAATAATATTTTGGGTTCAGATTTGAGGGTTTTTTTCCATTTTACTTAAGAAATAGATATAAAATAAGTAGATTGTTACAGGCCAGGCACAGTGGTTCACACCTTGAACCCAATGCTTTGGGAGGCCAAGGCTAGAGGATCGCTTGAGGCCAGGAGCTGGAGACCAGCTTGGGCAACATAGACTCCCATCTCTAAAAATTAAAAAGTAGTGTAATCCCAACACTTAGGGAGGCCGAGGCAGGCAGATGATGAGGTCGGGAGATCAAGACCGTCCTGGCTAACACGGTGAAACTCCGTCTCTACTAAAAATACAAAACATTAGTCAGGCATGGTGGTGGGCGCCTGTAGTCCCAGCTACTCTGGAGGCTGAGGCAGAAGAATGGCATGAACCCGGGAGGCTGAGCTTGCAGTGAGTCGAGATCACTCCACTGCACTCCAGCCTGGGCGACAGAGCGAGACTCCGTCTTGGGGGGGAAAAAAAAAGTCGTCGGGCATGGGGGTGCATGCTGATAGTCCTAGCTACTTGGGAGCCTGAGACAAGAGGATCACTTGAGCCCAGGTGTCCAAGGCTGCAGAGAGCTTTGATCACACCATTGCACTCCATTCTGGGTGAAACCTTGTCTCTAAAACAAACAAACAAACAACAACAACAACAAAATAGACCAGGCCGGCACGGTGTCTCATGTCTGTAATCCCAGCACTTTGGGGAGCTGAGGCGGGTGGATCTCCTGAGGTCAGGAGTTCGAGACCAGCCTGGCCAAGATGGTTAAATCCCATCTCTACTAAAAATATAAAAATTAGCCGGGCATGGTGGCGGGCACCTGTAATTCCAGCCATTCAGGAGGCTGAGGCACGAGAATCGCTTGAACCCGGGAGGCAGAGGTTGCAGTGAGCCAAGACTGTGCCACTCCACTCCAGCCTGGGCGACAGAGCAAGACTCAGTCTCAAAAAAAAAAAAAAAAAAAAGTTGTTGCCTTATTTTCTTAATCCCATTTCCCTCTCCCCTGAGATAAATGCTGTCATAAATTTGATGTAGGTTTTTTTTTGTAGTTTTACTGTGTGTACTGGTTTCCATGTATAATATAGTTTTGCTTTCTGTGTTTTTAGATTTACTTGCTTTGTCTCAACTTTGTTTTTGAGATCTCTCCAGGTTCACCAATTCTAGATCTTCCATAACTACTTTTAACTGTTCTGCACTTCTCCCTCCCATTTTATTGTCATGCTAATGAACTGTTCGGTTAACAGTGTTTTGCTACTCCAGACCATGCAGCAGTGAACACCTTTGCATGCGTTTTCTGGTACACACAAGACACATGCAATATAGTAGAAAGTGCAGTGTGGATTGTGACTCTGCCACTCACTAGCTCTGTGACCATGGACTAGTTACTTGACTTTTTTTTTTTTTTTTATTTTTTTTTTTTTTTTTGAGCTCGGCCTCCAGGGTTCACGCCATTCTCGTGCCTCAGCCTCCTGAGTAGCTGGGACTACAGGCATCTGCCACCACGCCTGGCTAAATTTTTTTTGTATTTTTAGTAGAGACGGGGTTTCACCGTGTTAGCCGGGATGGTCTCGATCTCCTGACATCGTGATCCACCCGCCTCTGCCTCCCAAAGTGCCGGGATTACAGGCTTGAGCCACCGCACCCGGCCTGTGACTTGACCTTTTTGTGCTTGATTTCCTCATCTATAATTTGGGGGAAAATAATAGTACCTGCTTCTTGAAAATGCGAGGATTCAATGAGATAAGCACTCAGAAAAGTGCCTGACATATGTTGGGAACAAAATGTTAACCATTCTGCTATCAAATGATCAGACCTGGACGTGTCTCTGCTGGGTCAAAGTTTGAACATTACCACCAAACTGCTCTCCAAAACAGTGACATCGACTTACAGTCCCACCAGTGGTGTCTGAAATTTCCTGATTTCTCGCGTATTCACTAACCCAAGAGTTGTCAGCCCCCGATCTGATGGGATGAAAACCTTTTTTTTTTTGGAACAGCATTAATGCGTGAATAAAATCTGCTTTAAAACGCGACTGCCATCTAGCGGTGAGAGGAGTACACTGCAATTATGGGGCAGAAGCCAAAAATGGGCGGACCTACATCTATCTCAGGGTAATTTGGGCATTTTAGTCACCAGCACAGGTCTGTTTTGAATAAAATCAACTACATGAGCGTTCTTCCATTATATCTCTATTTTCAGGCAGCTTGTACCTCTCACTTTTTCTACTACAATAATATGGAAGCCTGGCTACGCA